TAGCACTCTCTAAAAGTAGAAATGCTAAAATATGTAGCTTTTGAATATGCCAATAATCTACACTTATGTATTTTTCTTATTTCGAAGATTAAACCAGACAATAAAATAGGAAAAATATGTATTTTTCTTATTTCGAAGATTAAACAAAAGGATTCGCAAATAAAAGTGCTAATGCTACAACCAATCCATAAATCGTTAAAGCTTCCATAAAAGCTAGACTAAGCAATAGAGACCGCGTATTTTTCCTTCTGCCTCGGGTTGTCTCGCGATATCTTTTAGGGCTTGACCCGCAGCGGTACAAAACTCTTACAATTTAGAAATCCTTTCATAGGTTGATTTTGTTCCACTATTCACTGGTACAAAATATATGGACACACCATGCTACTGTAGTGCCCTTGTCGGCGGGAGTAGCAGCAGTGACAGCATAAATCTCCAAAATAATAGATAGAAATACTGCAAATAGAGCCATTGCGACACCCATTAAAGGAGTCGTTCCCCACCCGGGAGCTACTTTACCATATTCTGAATTCAATGGTTTTAATAAACTCCCTACAGTAGTTCGTCTTGGGCCCGATGTAGAACTGTTCTCAACAGTTTGTGTAGCCATAAATCCTATTGTATTCATTGAGATCCCACATTTAGAAGCCCATTTACTTCGCAATTTAGACAAAAATGGAATTGTGATGTTGGGATCTTGGGTAGAGACGGGTGATATTTTAGTAGGTAAATTAACGCCCAAATGGTCAAAGAATCATCGTATGCCCCCGAAGATAGATTGTACACAAGTGAAAATGAAACTGCTGGAGTTGGAGTGGGTGATAATGGCGGCACCGGTCGATGCAGATACTTATAGCATAATCTAAATTTAGAAATGCTCAAATAGATAGAGTTTGTTCCTCTTTAAAATAGTTCACTAAATATTAGTAAATTGTAACAAATACAAAATTAAAATCTTAAAAAATCAATGTAAAAAATTAACATTTTTGGCAAAAAGAAGTTGTTTATTCCAATTAAAAAATTGTAACGCCTCGTACATTTTTCAAACATTACTTATTTCAGTTAAGTAATTTATTTTAATTATACTTTAAGTAAATTTTCGGGACTAAATTAATAATTTAAGAAAATCTTGGGTATTAAGAAGTAAATAACAAAAATAGGGCGGATTCAATGAATTTGATATGGCAGAAATTTAGTCGATAGAAATTGAGAAATTGACAGTGTATCAATTCATGCAGAAACATTTTTTTTATTTTTTTTTTGCTAGACACGTCACCTGTTTTCCTTCTCATCTATAAAAGAAATCTTCAGAGTTGTATTTTTCTTCACCCTACTTCACGCACTAAGTTTACGGGAAAACGAATATGGAGCTCAAGAACTAAAGAGAAAGAACGAATTTCTAAATCAGATCCAAATCTCACAAGCTCCACAAACACAAGGTGGGAAACTATGGTTTTGACCAATTTCTCGCTGAGCACAACATCTCCAAAATTATTTCTTGGGCTGGTTCGATTTCTTGAGTTTATTAACCTTTTGAATTTCTTAATTACTCAGAGCTCATCTCCTTTTGATTTATCCCCATAATTTAACTTATTCCAGCCATTTTTGTTGATATAATTATGGGATTCTATCATATTGATTGAAATTGATTTTAGAAAGAAATTTTGTTTAATCTTGAACTTTGTTCTAGTCTACCAAACGAACCCAACTTGATTGTTTGGACTTTTGACGATTTGGAGGTAAATGTCTTGAAACCAAACCGGCACATTCCGGTTGTGCCTAATGCATGTTTCCACTCGAGCGGCCACTCGAGTCGGAATGGAGGGATAAGGGTTAGCATGAATGTTTGGGTGATACAAGGTTGGAGATCCCGCAAAAAAAAATTGATTCTTTCTTTCATATTATGTCGATTAAATTTCCTATTTCATTTCTTAAAAACTATACTTATTCGTTTCCTTTCTTGGATGTTATGCGCAGGTTAAGTATCAAGTGATCATATTATTTTGCTTAAACTATATAACAAATTGAGTCGATTTCCGGATAAGTCACTCAATTGGGTGTCTTTGTAACAGAACAAAGAGTCATCTATTTTGGACTTTGTATTTCGTATGAGTTTCAAGTTATAATGCAGTATTAATCATTTTTCGATATCATTAATAAAAGTTTTGAATTTTAAGTTTCGAATTATTCTATCGAATTTTTTTCCGGTGAATTATTCGAGTAGATGTCTCCAAATCGGGGCGCTACAAAAAATATGTATCAAATACAATATTTTAAAAACTAATATTTTGCAGAAGTAATTATAGATAGTTATATTTTTTTATGCGAAGGAGACACGAAGAGCATCTAATACCTCCCGATCCTGAAATTGAGCAGCCATTTACGCAAGTCAGTTACCAACCATCACCCAACCCAATAAATCGGTCAAAAAACCGGTTCTAAATTTTGGTCAAAGTATATAACCATTCAACACATCTTTTTTCATAAAATTCTCAAGTATATAATCTTGAAATAATCACACTAAAAAAATACAAATTAATAATAACCTATAAAAAAGCACAAATTGTAGCAAAAAAATTGCCCAATTTTCACTTCCTCCACAAAACAACACCAAATTCTAAACTTGGTTTTGTTTTTCTTCTTCTACAATTATACATAATATCACATCCAATATTTAACTATGTTCTTTTATCTCTCTACAATCTATTACACCATTTGTTCATAACAGAACAAACAAATTAAACAAAGTCTGTACAGTTTCATAGACACAAGCAGAGAGAGATTGAGAGAGAGAGAAGGGCCAAACAAATGTCATATCTCTCTGCCGATATATATACACATATATATAAATATAATACACCGAGAAAAAAAAAACCGGTCTTTTTTTTTCTTGTGGATTATAAAAATAAATTTTGATACGACGAGCAATAATTTGCTCCGATTTGTATCTCTACAAATTCACGGCCTTATTGCTTAGGGCAGTGGATTTGCAAACGGGGCAACTGTTCTTCACAATCAGCCACTTCTTTATGCACTCCTTGTGGTATTCGTGCCCGCAATCGATAGTTCCGATCTCCTCTTTTTCTTTATAATCCGTCTACATTAAAAATCTCATCGTTAGTAATTATATCAAATCGAGTATTTATTCATAATATATCCAAAAACAACTAAATGTTCATTGAACAATTATTGCAACGAGGCTCGTATTTCAAATTCTTTCATCCTAGTCATCAATCTTTAAGAACACGAGAAAATCTCAAAACCGGGTTTTTTTTTTTCTTTTGTGCGTGTGCGTGTGCGTGTGCGTAAAATATGAATTGAAATAATAGTACCTGGCATACGACACATAAGTTGATTTGGTGATCCTCGCAAATTTCCTTTTCTAGATTGACGGAAGATGCTGACGAGGCAAAAGATCTTATTTTCAAATTCCGACGAATAAATTCATCAGACAATCCCGTTCGAACACTGCCGATCTGTTCTCCTAGTGCAAGAAGCTCCTGTCATATAAATTATAAAAAAATCAACTTTTTCATGACATCATATATATAACAACGGCACATATAAAAACGGGGGGAACAAATTGAACCGCCCAATTAATTACCTCATAAGACATGTGATCAATATCCAAACGCATATCTCTGTGCTGATCAATAGAACCTCCTGCTTCACGATATCCTGGAATCTCGAGTATCGCAACTTCCTACAATAGAGAAATAAAAAAAAATTAATAAAAGCAAGAAGGGTATTAATGGAATTAAAAAAAAAAGAAAAAGTAAACGAATATTACATCTTCTGGCAAAATTCTCAAGTGAGGAACAGTGTGGTGCCTTATATTCGAACCGAGTACAATTTCCCTTTGCTGAGGTGGCTGATACAATCGAAAGCCCATAGATGGAATAGGGGCTACGAATGTCGGCCTAGTATCTACCATTTCTTGAAAAGGACTAATTGCCGGGGTTCGATTTCTTGATGACGTGGCGACTTGTGATTGGATGTTGGCGTTGTACCCTCCTCTCGCCCCCTGCATAGTTGGCGTCATCCAATGATGTGGATTGTGTTGCCCTTGTGGATGAGGAACATTAGGAAAACCGTCGACAACTACAAAAAAAAATTACAAAATAAATGAACGTACTTCCCGAAACGCGTCCAAACATTGCCGTCGATATAATTATTTATAGGTCTACATAATTTTTTTACCTTGCACATAGGGCAAAGGAGGGTGGGCCCACGCGAAATTACCGGCATCGCCATTGTTCGAGCCAAAATGCATGTCCAACCACGGATTATTACCGGGCAATTGATGAGGTGGGGCGACAAAACATCCTTGTACCATCATACGACTATTGTCCATCAAAGCAACATCGGACTCAACAGACGAACTGGGGCCCACCACCGAAGCATTGTTGTAATACGGGTAGATCCAAGGGTGCGCCGCCACGTCAGCATTTTTCCTCTTAAACGGAACACCAACCATACTGTGGGTCCCGTGATTGAGATGAACGGGCGGCGGTAGATACGGATTGTTGTAATGGCTGGATGGGGCGGCGTTCATCTGCGGCACGGCGTACAGTAACGGGTTGTCTTGATGATGATCTGGCATGTGGTGGTGGAAATTGAAATTCGATTGATTTATTGGGGCGGGGACCACCGAGTGGATATTGGGCTGAGGAAAGTTCGATGAAGTCCCGTAAAAGTTGCTGTGGCCTTGCTGTTGTTGATCAGTGAACTGAGTATTCCGATGCCCCATCTTGAAAGAGATGCCTATTTCGAAAGCATAGTTACGCAAATCAGAAAAAGGAAAAAAAATAAAGAAAAAATCGAAGCTGTAAAATCAAGAAATGATATAAATAATAGAATAATCGAAATTTTTCACGTTTTCCCGGCCAAATTGCATTAGCAATAAGTTAGACTCGTTAGAATTCAACGGAGATCTGGTTATTTAAACGGTCTTGAAACCCTTATCCGATAATAAATGAATGATCTTGAATGTTCGTCGGTAGCACTTATACAACAAACAAAAGCTAGCTCACTCTTCGGTTCACTAAACCACGCACAAAATCGACTTCCGAAAAATGACAGTTGTTTAATATATATATTAATATTACCAATAAATGCCGTTTATTAATATCTCTACTCTCGTTTATTAATATATGTAGTAAAGACGTTTATGTTAATATAATGAAGAAACTAACTTGTCAAATATGCCTCGAATCATTAGCCGACAAGATATTAATGAAGAAACTACATCTAACAACATTCTACATGTACGAAAACCGAAGATCGAGACGAATGTACTAAAAGTTCAAACACAGAACCCATCAATTAAATATCTCGAGATTAACGAAAAAAGATCTAACTACATTTATATGCAGTTGGAAACATTTCAAAAAGTCCAAACATACATAAAAACAACTACTTCGAACATCCCATAAAAAGTTAATTCTTTTCGACCAAAGAACATCGGAATTCATATTCTTACACAAATAATAGTTTATTCATTTCACATTAAGATTAATTTTTTTTTAACATCCAACAAGCAAGATTAAGAAAAAACCCATGTGCCCAAACCGATCAAATAGTTGAATCATAAAGCCCCAAACAAACAATTATTCAAAAAAAAAAAAAAAGTTATTACCTTTTTAACATGAAAAAAAAAAAAAAGAATTCCGAAACTCCGCAAGTTTCCACCTTTGGCTAATCTGCAGCAGTAAAATCCCAATAAATTACTTGTAGCTCCTGCAAAAAAAAAAATTAATAAAAAAAAATCAAGAAAATAAGACAAAAACCCTAATCTTGAGAAACAATAGAAAAGTGATCAATGATCATCAAAGCTGCAATCTAACCAAGAACCCACCAAGATTGTGTCCTTAAAACACAAATGTATGCATTGCATGTTTGAAATTTGTGCATAAAAAAGTCAAGCCCAAGAAACCATCAAAAAATTCAGAAAAAAAAAATAATAATAATTAAAAAAAATTAGAAATTAAAGAAATTAGATCATCTGAAAAACTAACCGAAAATTAAAGGTAGAGAGATCTGGGAAAGAATATAAAGAAGAGAGGAATTTGGTCGCCTTTGAAATGTTTTAGAAATTTTTTAGAGAGAGAAAGACGGTTTTTTTAATAATAGGGAAAATCACCTGTTAATTGTTTTTCTCTGGAGTCCGTCTATTCTTTGACCCTTGTAGTTGTACTAGTAATGCATTTTTCTTTTTCTTTTTCTTTTTTCTTTTTTTATTTTTTTTATTTTTTATTTTTATTTTTTTTAATTTTTTTTATTACAGTAACTGCTACGTGGTCATTAATTATTTTCCTTTTTTTTTTTATTTTATTTTCCTACACTATTATGTCTTGAATTTCCATAAAAGACCTTCGATTTCTTATAGTGTAGGACCTTGATAATTAATAACCTCGATTAAATAATAGTTTATCTCGGTCCTGACTCGGTGAAAATGTGTTAAAATTATTAAATCGATAATTTAATAATTCGATAAATTAATAGAATTTTCTCTGGACTCCGTTTAATTAATTTATAGAGGTTTAATTGTAGATTGCAAGGGCGTTTTAGTAATTGTTGAAATCGGACGAATCGGTTTGTAATAGCACTTTTGAATAAATTCTTAGGAGAATCAAAAAGAATGAAAAGATTTTTGTAATAGTTGAAATTTTATTATTAAAAAAAAATTAAATTGGAATGAAAAGAATTATGTTCTGAACTCAAAAAGTTTCGATTCGAGATGTTGGAATTCAATTTTTCTATTTTTATAGTCGCTTGTAATTCAAAATACACAATAATGTTGATATTTGAAGTGTGATTTTTAAGGGAAAAAATCTAAAATTTTGAAAATGTTTTTGGAAAATTAAAATTGAATCGAAGATTGGAATATTTATGTATTTCTATTCCATTCCAAAGAAAATCTAAAAAATGAAAATCGGAATTTATGGAATTCGAAATGAGAGATATTATTCCAAAATCAATATATTTGAATCAGAATCGACAAAATTTAAATATTCTTTTCCAATTTCACCCCTAAATCACAAGCTATAGTGATTAAAGTGTACTACTAATTTAATAAGGATATCTGAAATTGAATTACTATTCATTTGTTAATCTTCTTCTTATTATTTTTCTTTCATAAATATTAGCTGTAAATGTGCAAGTTTAGTCTCTATTATTATTGTCACATGTTAAGATGCATAACAAGCCAAATATTAAATACTAATTATTTTTTATTAAAATAATTAATTATTTGGTAGCGAAAACTAATTAATGAAGCTAATATAGGAGTAATTGTCGTCTAGACGAGTAGGTTAAATTGGTGAAATGAGAATAGCGTCACATTTAACGAGCTCGTCTACAAATTTAACGAGTGGAGTTTACGCAGTTAATATTGAGCCGGCATCTAAAAGTTCAAAGCAAAAATCTGCTTATGGAGTGTTCGGAGCAGGGGTTGTAAATCGAATATGAATCAGCTCGATTTCGTTTGGAAGTGAAAAACTAGTTCCAGAAGAAATTGAAAACAACAAGAATTGGAATTTCAGAAACTGAAAGGAAAAAACTTGTTCGAAAAAATCGGATAATTTCGGATCAGAATCGGTGGAATTCGAAAGTCTCGTCCGGATATTCATCCCTAAAAAAAAACTATTTATTTAATAACCGCCAAAAGGGTTAAGGTGGGCCCATTTTTTGTGGCTGACGGCTGCCCTTTCCCTTTAGCTCAGCCTTTTTTCTAAGAGAATATTCCTTTGCTGAACCACTAAATAAAAATTGCTTTATCCATTTCAAAAAAAATAATTTTTTTTCCCAAATTTCTATTTTTGCATGATCCGCATATACCGAAGCAAAATTCTATTTTTAATTTGGTTTATTTTATTTATTTGATAAATATGAATAAGAATTTCAACCATCGTCCTTTGACTCTTGATCGGAAATCTGACCGACCATTGATCGATATTGACTGTCAATGTGTTGAACTGCAACGACCGATCGTTAAGCAGTCATTTTTTTTAAATACCTTCTTAATTTTACTATTGGTTTTTTTTCCTTACTGTTTTGATTGTACGGTTGGTTATTTTATTGTCGAGTTGTTACTGAATGCATTATATTTTTTTTTATTATTTAAAATTTATTAATAGAAGAAAAGAAAAAAAACGTTATGACTTATACGAATAATTGGTGTTATCTGATTGGGTCAGGTCCTTTTACATTTGTAAAGGGCTAAAACCACAAGAATTGTGCCTCTGAAGAAAAACAATGTATTATAATTTATTAGGTATTTATAAATAGGTCCTTTTATTTTTATGTTTTTCTTCGCCATCCGAACTAAACTTTTTATTGACTTGTCACATGTAGGCGAGTTCGCCTGTTTTCGCAGGTTCGAGCTCGCATGAGTTTCAGTAAGCTCGACTCGAGCTTTGAATAGAAAAATAATAATATATTTATTGTATAATAATAAAATAATAATAATAATAATAATAATAATAATAATAATAATAATAATAATAATAATAATAATAATAATAATAATAATAATAATAATAATAATAATAATAATAATAATAAGAGTAAGAAGTGAGCGAGCGAGCTGTCGAACAACCATAATTGGGCTCGAACTTGTCCGAAGTTCGAGCTCGAAAAAACTGAACTCAAGTTCGAGCTTTTGTCAAGTCAGCTCATCGAGTGCGGCTCAACTCGTTTACCACTTCCAGTCATAATTATTTAGTAAATACAAAAAGATTAAAAACATAAAAACAATATGACCGTTTATGTATAGAAATTTAGAGACATAAATAAATTGATTATATGTTTTCTTAAAAAAAGAAGAAACCGATCTTCTTTTTTTCATATTTTTCCTTCTCTTCATCTAAATTAATTTTTATACGAGGGTACATTATGTCTTTTGTAAATCGGGACCCAATCAAAAGGGTCGAAATCGACACAAACTCGGACTATAGAGAAATTAACTGCTTAAAAGTAATTTCAAAAACATTTGCAAATCACTCCATTTTTTTAATAAATAATTAATTATATTAAATTTTACTATAATCATCAACTCATATTATTTACTTATATTTTTTGAATTTATAATTACATTATTTCAAAAGTTTTTAAAAACATCACCTAATTAAAAAAGAAAAAAATCTGGCTCCTAAAAATTCAGAAAATAAGAAAGCTGCGCATTGGTCCGCGCGTACACTTCACGCTCTAAATGCTCTATAAATACAGTCCCTCCATCACCGCTCGGGAGAATTATCGTGAGTTCGTAGCAAGAATCTATCCGAATACAGGACGAAGCAAAATTGTAAGGTAAGCTTCGTATTTATCCTATTGCATGTATTTAATTTTTTTTTTCTTTTTTCAATTACGTTTTCCCAAAATTGCATCTAGGGTTTCGGTTTTCGTTTTCTGTTTGACGATTGTTGATGGGTTAGTCTCCACGGCACAGATCGAGCAGCCGCTGTTCTAATTTCATTTTTTTTTCTAGGGTTTATTCGATTTTGAAATCTGTAATTTAGGTTTTCTTTTTTTTTTTTTTTTAATGTTCGCACAGGATCATCAGTTAGTTTAATTGCGTTTTTTTCCCCCAAAAATCAAATCTTGAATTCGTTGAATTTTCCGTTCTAGAATTTTTAATTTTTAATATTTGTTGCTAAATTACTGCTAATGATTCACTTATCAGGCGAAAAAGCCACGGCAGCAGCTGCAACTGCCGTCTGTAGAAGCTTGAGTTCTCTTTT